AAAAACCTTTGCCGCTAACCCGCTTCACAGGACTTGACGCCACAATCCAAAACGTTAAAAAAAAAATTTTTTAAAAAAATTTTTTTTTTTTTTTTGCAAAATTTTGAAATAGGATCACTAGTTATGAATGATAAAATAAAAAGCATAGGATAAAAGCTGCAAATTCGGCGTAGAAAAACGTCAACGATCCGTACGATCCAGCCGACCGAAGTCTAGTCCATTCCATCTATGTACGGTTCCGGATTTTCCAAAATTAAAAACACTTAAAATTCGGGCATTTAGAAGAGAAAATCAAGTTTTAGAAGTTGGGCATGTTTTTGCTATACATTAAGATTATTCATGGTTATTCGAAAGGTGAAAATTCAAAAAAAAAATTTTTGTGATTCAAATCCAGTCACTGACTGAGGCCCAGTCACTTGCAATCCCTTTCAGTCACAACCAATCCATTCCAGTCACACCCAAGTGACATCTTATGTATCTCAATGCTGTTTTGCTGTTTCCAATGCAAGCATACATAGGGAGAGACATAGGGAGCTAGTGACAGGAATATTCACAACTAAAATGTTGTGTTTTTGATTTCAGGGCGAAGACAGAGAAATAGGCCCCAAAGGAGAAAGAGGCTCTGTCGGAGGTCAGGTAAAGTTCTACTTGTTTTTTTAGGCCCTACCCTACCCACACCTCCCCCACCTTTTATTCAGACTCTATTTCAAAAGATACACTTAGTAGACTATATTATGTTCACTCAAAAATAGAACCTTCTCAAAAGTATCGCGGATGCTAAGCTAACATTGAAATACAAAAAAATCACACTCGTTCTCGATGGAATTTGTGGCATTTCTTTTGTATTTCCATGTTAGCCTTGCATTCAAGAAATAAGTGTCCATTATATGTAGATATAAAATCATCATGTTCAAACTTCGGATTTCTGTGAATATATTACACTACTTGCATGCGTTTGAAATCAGTGTATTCTATCCGATTTTTAACGTTGCTTGTTATTTTATAGGGTAAACCTGGAATACCGGGTCCCATCGGAGACATAGGCTTACGTGGACCACAGGTATAGTGAAATAATAATAATAAGTACGCAATGTCCTAAGATGATCAGTGATTAAAACCCCCCCGCCCCACCCATCTTAATAATACGTTTAACAGTAGTATTTATTGGCCTTCTTGTCCTTAGGGTAAACCTGGTTCCAAAGGCTCACACGGTGCCTATGGAGCATTTGGTCTCAAGGTAAGGAGAATTCTCTCTCTATCAGTTGGTATTTTGACTTTCGTTTTTAAATCATTTTTTTGCTTTGATGTGACTGACAGGGCGAAATTGGCGAGCCTGGTCTATTGGGGAAGCCTGGAAAAATCGGCGCCGAGGTAATCCGATTCGAAGTATAATTTTCCCTTGTCAAATCATTGCATGAAATCTGCTTGTTACAAGCCATGTGAGCAACTCTCGTTAACAGCCATTATTACATCTTATGTTACAGGGGTTAGCTGGAGCGAAAGGAGAAAAAGGCGATCCTGGGAAACTTGGAGTCCAGGTTATGACTTACAGACTGTTCTATTTATCAGTCTGCTCCGATCTATTATCATGAAATTAAGTATTATCAATATAACGTTTTAATGAAATCCCTCTCTCGCTCTCTCGCGTAGAATGCTGAAGTTCCTTCACCATTATCTGACACATAGTTAAAAACTAGCATATAAATCATTATACACACATGTTCGAATTGTTGTACTAAAATGTCCTGTTTTCTGCTCGGCTTTAGGGCAAAAAAGGTGAGGTGGGTCTTAAAGGAAATAAGGGCTCAAATGGTGATCAGGTAAATGTCCTCTCTTTCTTTTGTGTATTACAATAGTTCTCCTTGGCTTGGACGTAATGTTGTCCCATTTCAGACAACGTGTCATTCCCTTGAGAATGAGATTCTTTGTTTGAGTTGTATCCATATTCATGTGTCTTCTCATGTGCAGATTGAGCGCAACCGTTAAACAAAGAAAGGACAGTCTAGGGAGTGACACGTGGCCTGAAATGGGACAACATTACGTCCGATTCTTTGTTTGAGTCGTATCCATATTCATGTGTATTCTCGTGCGCGCCCGTTAAACACAAAATTCGTATACTATAAGGAATGATACGTGGTCTATAATGGGAAAACGCCCTAGGTGAAAGGGTCTTTTAGAATAATTTTATTGAAAGTTGCTTTCTGTCATGATGTGATCTCCTAATCCAAATAGATATATCCGCCTCTCACCCCAGACTGTACTAAAGTATTGTTGTCACTGTGTTTGTTTTAGGGCTCAAGAGGGGATCCAGGGCCAAAAGGAAAAGGAGGAGGTGTAGGACCCAAGGTTGGTACGTTTATTCTTCATATCTCACTTTTCCTATTTTCCTATTCTATCAGTTTTCTTATTCCTTTCTATTTCATTTATATTTATTGTTGCTGTAAACTCAAACATGTTTGAATTCCATTACAGGGCAAACTCGGTGATCGAGGGCCCATAGGGAAAGTAGGCGCTCAAGGTCCTAGGGTAAATACTTTTAGATACTAAATACAACGACACAGATAAAACAGTGTCTCAGTATTAGTAATGCTATGTCCTCAGCCAACACTCTAAGTCATTCGACTAAGACTACATGAACAGTTCAACCTTTCAAAAGCTTTACAAAACGCGACTAAAATCTTATCTATTTGATTCATTAATTAAGACACCTTATAATTAATCATTAAAGTAGTGGGATTATGTAGTGCATTATATGATAACTGTAATAGACTCCGAGTTTTGTTAATGATGTCTGTTATTCACAGGGAATTAAAGGTCCGTTAGGAGATCCTGGTCCAAATGGAGTCCCTGGTATTTTGGTAAGAGCGCGCAAATATCAGCAACCTTTTAGACTATAAAATATACTATCTAAAAAATAGGATATACATCATATATTTTATGCGCATTTTTTAATTCTCCATTTTCTTCTAATTAGGGACCTAAAGGTTTCCTTGGTGATCCTGGAGAAGGAGGCACGCCTGGCAAACAGGTACTTGCTAAAACAATACTACAATTTATCATTTCAGAGGTCCTAATAATTCAAGATAGAAGAACAGTTTTCATAAACCTTTTTCTTGATAATAGGTTTATTTATTAATGTATACAGTGTGTGCAACCATGTGACTCAAAATCCCTTGAGATATGAATAACAATGAAACAACCGCCACGCCATGTTGGTTGATCTAACAAGAGAAGCTAATGAGGAATGCTTTGTTATCGTCAACTAAGATAGTGGTTGACGTAACATGCACGTGCTCAATAGGCTTAGATATCCCTCTTATTGTAATAAAGTTTTACCTAATACTAATTCATTGGTGTTTTTGTTGTTTATGATTGCATTCTTTTAGGGTGCTAGAGGCTATTCTGGACAACCAGGCAATCCTGGCCTCAAAGGAAAGCGGGTAAGCTCATCTAAGCAGTATGAGAGTCAGTAATATTGAAGGTTCGTTTTCAAGTGGACGGAATGTAATTTATGACCGGCGTATTATTATCCTGTAAGTTGCTTCATATACTGCGAGGATCAGCTCAATTTGATATTATTATCCTTAGGGAGATCATGGTAAAAGGGGCAAGGAAGGCGGAAAAGGAAGAAAAGGTCCACCAGTAAGTAGAATTATCAATATAGCATCACTTTAACATATTCTTTATATTGAGTTTCAAATGCTAAATCAAGGATCTGTTCTGTATATTTTTTATTTCTAATAGGGCAGCAGTGGAGGTAGGGGCAAGCGTGGTGCGCCTGGAAGGCCAGGTACCGAGGTAATATAGTTATCTAGGATTCAACATGATTTGATATTATTAAGTGTATCTGTGATACCAAGTGTAAAAATAGCCCTGTCGCTTGAACTAAATGCGTATGTTTCTCTTTCAGGGTTTCCATGGAGAGCAAGTAAGCAAGAATTGGAATTAAAGGTTCTGTTTCATGTACAAATAATCGTAATAGAGATCTTAATTTTGTTTTCTTTTCATTTAGGGAGCCAAAGGCATAATGGTAAGTACGCTTCATGCTTAAAAATTTCTTTTCAGTAATTGCAGGTCTCGTTCCAGAGGTGGATTTGGGGGAGAGGGGGTGAGGCGCAATAAATTCCTTCCCTCTTATTATAAATTTCGTTGATAACCGCCTTCCCCTACCACCACCACTCCCATGTGGCTGTTGCTCGATAAAAGACGCACCATATACGGCGTGGCCTTACTAAAGCTAGACAATAGTTCTTCGCCTATATTTTGCAATACGTCAACTATTTGTAATTCTTTTCCTTTACTTTGTTTCATTCAGGGTGATGAAGGTGTCAAGGTAGATATATAAATTTGCTCTTGTCTGTTTGCTGTTGTTTCGCTCGTTGGTTAACACTAAGATTATTTGTTTCTGTGATTTACAGGGCCCAAGGGGATCCCCGGTAAGTATTAACTAATAAAACATTCTAGTTATACAATGCTATCGATAACACAAGAAACTTGTTATCCAGATATTTTGGTCATCCGAGTAAACGTCTTCCATGATAAAAACCTTTTGAATCAATGGTAATATATGTTATTGGATTTTTAATTTCTTCCATACTTATTTACTTTGTTTTTGTTCATTATTTTGTCAGGGTTCTAGAGGACGACCGGTAAGTATATATCCCACCTTCAACTTGCGATACCTGTTCACTAGTTGCATAAGTGTATTAACTGTAAACTTATTGTTTTCCTTACAGGGCAGACCTGGACCAATGCGAGGATTACATCAACTTAGTGCGCATCTAAATCAGGTAAGTCATAAGACTTAAACGTACTCTCTACATACTAATAATGGAATATTAAGTTTCCTATCGGCAGGGGATTTTCAGTCCTATGAGACGTTAGGCTGAACACAGGTTATCCAATTCAAGATTTACTTAATTCATGCTTTACACCTTCTCCTTCCCCCCCCCCCCCTCCCCTCTCTTTCTTTGTCTTTCTCTCCATTTCCGGCACAGTCCGGATTTTCTTCAACTGGAGACGAACGAATTGAAAGACACTCATTTCCTAAACATATGATGAGTGAAAAGAGTTACACCTATTTCCAGCATTGGGAAAAGTATTAATGAAAAAGATTGAAGTTTTACCAAATGGTGTAAATTTTATAACCTATAGTTCATCCCAGGTAACATAAAAAGCTTCTACATGTCAGAAGTGGATGATACAAAGTTTCCCCTGGGTACCCGCCACAATCCTGCTTTGACCTGTAAAGAACTGGGGAAAGTAACAGGCATAAAAGATGGTAAGGACAGGTAAATTTCTTAGTATTTACTATTGATAATACCCCTGAACAAGAAAATAAAAGAAAGAGAAATCAATTGTTTTTGGTCGAAGAAACATTAATCTATTTAACCATTATAAAAACCAACCTACAAAACAACACTTGACATGAAAGAAAAGCTGTTCGATGGACCATTTGGCATTTTTGAAATAACAACAGATTGAAATAGAAATGAAATATTTCCAAGTTATTCCTTGTGCGAACTTCACTTTGCCATACTATGATGCATATTATTAATAATTATATATATTATCATATTATTAATATAGTTGACAATGACTTTCTGAACTAGGCTTATGGTTGAAGTATATATTAACAAAGTTTTGCTTATCAGGGAGGTTTTGGATTGATCCTAACTTGGGTTGTCCTGGTGATGCAGTCAAAGTACTTTGCAAGTTTAAAACCCGAGAAACGTGCATTATGCCCCATTATAATATGGTAAGGTATATTCAATATATGTAATAACCTCATAATCTAAATGATTCTTGAATTCGTTGTTGAATTTGTTGGTGTTGTTTGGTGTCCTAGATTCCAAAGCAAAAGTGGTATAACAGCACTACTCCAGGATGGCGAAAATTCTCAGATCTTGCAAAAGGATCGAAGGTAATAAATTTGTTTTTAAAAAGCAACTTATCTCAAGGGTAAAAATGACCGTCTCAAAAAAAGATTAGAGAATTTAAGATTCGCAAAATCTACGACGGCGACGTCAACCGGAAGTGTAAATAATTTCTTTAGGGGTTCTGTTCATTGGAAATTTTATTCAAAACATTGTCAGTAAAGTCAACTCATCCACAGGGAAGATAGACTTTGAGGACGCGAAACCCCAAAGTGAAGTTATTCACACTTCCGGTAGACGTCGCCGTCGCAGATTTTGCAAATCTTAAAGTCCCTATTTTCATTTAGACTACGACGTCTTACACAATATAGCTGCTTCAGTATTTTTCAAAAAACTGTTCTTGATAATAACTTAATTTGTTTAACGAGCCCGTCACAATCTAGTTGGCATTTTACATGACAATAGATAAAGCCATATTGTTAGCTCTTGATTAACTGGATTTTTGTTCCATTTAGATCAAGTACAGGATCAGTAAAGTACAACTTAACTTCCTTCGATTACTAAGCAACAGCGTATCACAGGAGATTGTCATCAAATGCAAATCTGTAGTGGTATGGTTTCATAAAACAACCAAAAGCTTTCGATATTCATGGAAATTCCATGGACCCTATGGCAAAGAATTCTCCGCCTCTTCTAAATATCGTCCAAAAGTCGTAAAAGACAATTGTAAGGTAAGTCGGCATTTTGCGCATGCGCAAGCGAAGCATTGTGGGGAAACGTCACAACTCTAACTCTCTTTATGGCACGCCCACAATTTTCGTGCCTACTTTTCGGTCTTGCGCTGTATACTTTTCCTTTATGAAAAATACTCTTCAGATCGCAGACTCGTATATATTCAAAGACTGAAATATTTTTTCCGGGATCGACAATTCCAAATTTAATTGTTTCTGCAGTACGATGATGGCAAGTGGCGACGAACGATGTTCAAATTTTCCAGCGAAAAGATCAACCACCTCCCAATAGAAGATTTCTCCTTCTACCACAGAAGTATCTCAGAAGAACAGCTTGGCGCCAAGATTGGACCGGTTTGCTTTCAGTGATAGGTCATTTAATAGTTAATGTCTCACTAGATCACTAAATACTACTAGTTAATAACACAAAGAACTACAGCATCCCACGATCACGGAAAGTATTTATTGGATTGAGCTGGATGCTCGTTGTTTTACCAAATACTCTCATCACTTTTACTTTTGTTTTTTAGGTTTTTTTTTAGCAGTGAATATTTGTCCATTAAAAACTCCTAGCATGACAATATCTTGAATTCGTTAATCAGTTTATATTACAAGGTTTGATCAAACATAGAGCATGTCCTCGTAGAAGTAAGTTCAAAAAACCCCTTCGTTTCATATATTTTTAAGTTAACCATCAATGTAGTACACGAGCTGTGTTTTGCATACATCCAATCGATTACTTTACACCAACATATTGTAGTTTCTAGAATCGAATATATTTGGGTTTCATTCTCATTATAATAAATATCAATGGTTATTGCAATCGACAATCGTTGCAGTAAATCCCTGACTTCCTTTCAAGAATATTCGCGTTTTTGATAACCAAGTAGTAGGTAAGACATTTTCCGCAATTTACTTTTTTGGGGCTTTAGAACTATATAAACAATACACACATTTTTTAATTAGACATATAGTCGATAATTTTAGTGTGTTATTTAGATAATATTGTTAATATTAGTATTGTCGGAGCAGACTTAACTGTTTAAGGAGACCTATCACGTAACCATGGTAACAATCAAGGAATTTCTCATAGGATTTTGGACTGTTTATGAAGAACGTAATCATACACAAGGAAGATAGTGACTTAAAGTCAAGCCTCGACCAAGGCTCATGATTAGATTGGGGTTGAAACTTAGACTAGTGTTTAGATCAACACAAGAATGACACAATAAATAGTTTCAAAGGTGTGGTTTATGATGTTTTCATGAAAATAACATCAATAGCGGGTCTTCAAGGTGCCAAAATGAATTTAAATTTCCTTTCATAATTTGGGGATATTTTAGAAGAAGATAAACCTATTAAGAGTTCCAYGATTTTTTCCCCAAGGCCACACGTATAAACCTTGCTGGTCAGCGGTAACATTCAATGACAAGTCAGAGGTAACATCCAAATGGCGGATACTTGCAACATTATTAAGTTATAAATCAAGAAACCTTTGCACTGTAAATTACGTTCTACTCACTCTTTTTGCTTTATACAAAACCATTTGGGCTATAGATGTTGGAGTATAAAACACTCGGCGTTTATATATATGCAAAAACTGTCGCTAACTGGCAATAAGTTGAAGCGCCTTAATACTGGATTATCAGTAGAAAGCACACTTTACTCACCATCCACAGCAGTTCCAAAGCAGAGTTCTACTAGTTCTCTTGAAGGACTGATTCGTTGTCAACAGTATCATCGCTAAGAGACTCCAACTCAGTCATAAATCTTGATATTCTTCAGCTCTAAACGGCTTTCTTTATGCTCGTTGAACATACCAAGTTTATCTCAGCAAGGTGAGTAATATTTAATATTCATGCATTATCGCATGAGGCTTAGAGCCACTGGTGGACATAATGAAAGGGATTAGATTAGAATTCCCATGAGAACGGCGAAAAATGCGGGTTTTTTTGGAACAGCAATAGTGTCTGGCTTCGTTTTATGCATGCTAGATATGAACGTCTTAGAAGATAAAGACCCTATAGCCTCACACTAACCGGCCTTCCTATTCTATTTTAGTTAGAATATATTTTCCTTTTAGTGGTAGTATTTGAGGAATGGACATTCTTGAGGCGTACCTCTAATGGAAATTCTCAGAAAACATTATGAATTAGTACAATTAAATCGATTAATATCACCGATATACTTGGATCTTTTACAAAATATAAACAAGGCTGTAACACGGATATTATTAAAATTCTATCAATTTATTAATTTTTATATGGAAATCGATTAATTGTGTTGGAGACTTTTTGTCTGACTAGCTAGCTATGAACAGTGTCCCCCATTTTTATTATTCATTCAGGAACATCTATGCCTCATCGTTGATCCCTATATTGAACATTAAGTTGAAAAAGATTTTTATTACTTAACGTATTGTTTACGATTGAACAGTACAAACTATTGGACTCTTACGAAATTTTTATTTTATTACAAAACTGTGTCTCGTTGTGAGAAAGCAATATATCTAAAGTAGGGCCCGGTCACTGTATATGGGCCTAACGTACAAATATCACCATTATAGTACATAAAACACATTATCCATAGTTTTCATAAAAAGTGTGTGTATTTCTCTGTTCTTTTGGTGTTCTTATGGATAAATCTGAGGTTCTATTGGAAACACACAGGTCCGACCTCGAACTGAAGTTGGCCATTTGCTTTGGAAAGTGCAATATCTCGTAACGGAAGCAGTTCTAGTTTTTGTAAGTTCTGTACGTTGCGTTGTCCAGTCTGAAACAATACATCAAAACAAAATTTTAATTGATAAACTATTTGAGATATAACGCGCGCGCTGATTGGTTGCCTGCCATGTTGATTTTTTATAAAAGCAATATATAACGCTGCTTATGTCTCTGTACTGTGATATACACCCTGGGATCTGTACTACGCCTGTGTTACCTTGCATCGGGTATGTTCATTTGGCATTTCCTTGTTATTAGTACCAAGAAGTTGGATATCTTGAATACAGTCGTGCGTGACCTTTTGTGCAGCTGTGGCGCTCAGAAGTCTCAAGAATTTCATCTGCACGGTGTTGGCTTCATATGAAAACTGAAAAATGAAATACAAACCTTTGAACTATGAAACTGCAAGCAAGATAAAAATAAAATGCTTTGCTGGTGTTAGGTAAATTTTTCCTATGGTATAAAAACAAGCTTGGACACAATTCAAAATGGTCTTGTACCTTGAATCCATCTTTGACGGTAGAAAACAATGTGTTGGAGTTAACGTTAGAATTCCAGCGAACCTAGAGAAAATATAAATGGAATACAAAAAAATATGAGAGAATTCTATAGAAAGTAAACTTTGAATAAGCGTGTAAAAAAACCTGCCGACTACAGAACCAACCAAAAAGATAATATTATAAACTAATAATCAATTATTTATTATTAAAGGAATTTATATTTATTTGTTGAAGATTTACCAAGCGGTTGATAGGTTTGACACAAGTCTGTCCTCCAGCAGTAAAGTTACAGAAGGCACGGAATGCATCTGCGGTTACCCCTTGGTTAGGATCCAACCAGTAGGTACCTGAAAATATACAACACCATAGAGCAGTTTTCGTATCACTGTGAAGAGATCACGGCACGTGACGCGGCAAGGCATACGAAAGCCCAATCACATTGCCCGAGAATTTACTCTCCACCCAATCAAATGCTTGGAACAAGGCACGAACACGGCGCGGACACGGTCACGCCAAGGTCACGTCACAGCCAGACCAATCACATTGCGAGAGAAAAAACCTTTAATCGAAATTCTAGAAAACATCACGTCACGGCAAGGCACGCATACAGTACTGAGCTTTTCAAGGTCATGCACAAAGGTTTCAAAGTGAGGCTACATGCATAATGTTCATTGATTCGTGAMGAGGAAAAAGGAGGGATTTTATTTACCACGTTGCCTCGTACTGAAACCGTTGTGCGTGACAAGCAAAGCATATCTTGGAAGTGGGCTATTGGTGAGAGTTTTTGGGTGCCTTCTTAGGATCTAGCGTTGCATACTGCGAGCTGCCTGGTGAATTTCTCCCATCTTTCAGTCCAAACAATGATGGGTATTGTTGGGAACGACTGCACAAAGCATTGGAAAAGGTACATTTTGATCTTACCGTCAGGAAGCTGTGAGTTGGTTTTCATCAGTTCTCTGCATGTTCTGGCAGGGCTGTCTCTTGCACCAGAGGGACGTACGATCTTCTGGAAGGCCTGGCTGGTTTCAACGATGGCGTCGATAACCACTTCATTAAATTTGATTGCCTTAAAACAACCAACAATCATCACTACGAGTATCAGTATACAATATGCTACTTGGTCAGACTAATCCAAGAATACGTACAAGACGTTTTAGCTAATGCAATCCCCTTCTTGGAAAAACATGGGTTCCAAAGTAAAGGGGACTTTTAGCCAGTTCTTATGGCGTTATTTGCCTCCTGGGGCATAACAACACCTACCTCATCTTCGATCGATCGCTTCTGTCTTCCATTTCCTCTGGCACCTTCACCACCTGATCTTCTGGACTGGAAAGCAAAATCCCACAGTTACTCAAAATGAATAAACAGATATGTAAAAAATCGTGGCTCAAAGTAGAAGATAACGAAATTCGATCCTCTCACTTACCCCGAACAGACTATCACTCTGTAAAAGTGAAAAGAACGTATGTTAGTAAAATATAGGAGTCTGGTAATGAGTCCTTTCCCCTGATGGAATTGTGGGAATGCGAATAAAGTACGCGGGGACAAAACCTCATGTGAAGTCCCAATAGACCTCTTTACTTTGGGCGTAATATTTTCCCATTTCAGACCACGTGTCATTCTCTCGACAATAAGATTCTTAGAGTTGAATCCATATTATTGTGTCTTCTCATGCGCAACCGTTAAACAAAGAAATTCTATTCTAGGAAATGTTGCTTAGTCTGTAATGGGTAAACATTACGCCCAAAATAAAAGGGTTTATTTGCGAAGGGTTTAAGACAATATGTTTGTGTCAAGGATCTATTTACGAAGGGTTTAAGATAAGATGTTTGTGTCAAGGATCTGTACTTACTGTTGGTCCTGGTGGCCCAGGAGCGCCTGGATCACCCTGTCAAACCAAACACAGAAAAAAAAACATTAAAATAAATAAATTACAATGTGTTACATTGATACATCCTGTAGACTGCTGTCAGATACTTTGAACGCTTTGTTAAATGGTGGTTCTCGCATTACCTATTAAGTACTACTTGCTTTGCCAAAAGAAAGGGAAAAACAAAGAAATATTGAGATTTGTATACTCACGATTCGTCCACGTCTTCCCTGGAAAGCGAAAAAATCGTTACAGTTAGAAAAAATGAAGAAAGGTTGGACAACATGTATCAGTGGACTTGCGCATTATAAGGGTGTTACCAGGGGATGGAAGGCGCCAGTGAAAATTGCAGGGGGTGTCGTTGAGGTTACGGGTATGGAAGATGGGGTAAAAGTTTCCTGACGCGATGTTTTTGTTATAATCAAATATATGATGTTATAATTAAAACATCTTTCGCGCACTAAAAACGACTCAATTGGTGGAGACTGGTTTCATTTACTTATGAAAATCTTCGGAGTTTTTTTTTTTTTTTTTGTAACCTTCCAGATTTCTTTTCCCATGTCTTAATTTACAATTGAAAAAACATAAACGACTATAAAATGCGAGTTAGGAACGTACCTTCAAGCCAGCGCCACCCTGTTAAAAAAATATCAAAATAATAAAGAAAGAAATCAGTTAAAATAACAGCAAGATAAACCGAAATAAATCAGAAGGTCGATGAAAATTAAGTTAGTATTCTTACCCTTGCTCCCTTATCACCCTGAAAAGATAAGTACAAAAAAAAAAACATTCATTAATAGTCAGTCACTTTCATGGAATAGCCCTTTGACAGTTCCCTGCGCCATCTTGAAAGGTAGCCGTGCCTTTGAATCGAAGCGAGGACGGCGGTGAACTTGCAATAATAGAGACCTTTTTTTAACGCCTTGCACAATTATTCACATGTCTCTATCATTGCAAGCTTACCGTTCGTCCTGCATCGATGCAAAGGCACAGCTACTTTTCAGGATGGCGCTGGGAACTGTGAAGGGGATTATTACTTAACAGAAATATTGTTTCAATATCTAAGCTTACTATTCATTCTCGTACACAGAGCCCCTCGGAGCGACTATGGAGGAGCTCTGGGTACAACTATGCTTACGAGACTAATTGAAGCCTTGATCTGCGCGCGCATCAAGTGCGCATCATCATTGCCGCTGACTAGACTCAGTCTCCAACCATAAATATCAGTATCTTTTATATTTACTTGGTTTTAGTCGCATAAATAGTACGTAATAATAAAAGAAAACAGTTGAATTAGAGTCTTTCATTACGCTTTCTATCTTTTCACGGGCCTTAAAATTGCTCTATATTTTTTGACTGTTAACTACAGATACACAAGACAAAAACTGTGTATGTAGTAAGACTACCATGTGACAAAACACCAAGAACACATGTAAAGATTAGGATTTTATTAAATAAAATAAATATAAAGAAAGGATACACAGTTTTACTTACAACACCTCCGTATTTTCCCTGTAGAAAAAAAAACCCGCATCAGACAAAATTTAAATAAGCATTAATAATTTATCAGATATGCAAATAAGCAAAAAAATGTAATAGTCACGTGATATGGTTGGATGTGACGTCACGTACCGGTGGTCCTTGATCTCCGTGAACGCCTGGGGGACCAGGCTCTCCCTTGAATCCCTGAGAAAAAACAAAACATGCATCATTGTCAACATCATAACATCATCATCATAACCATCATTCATCATCATCATCATCATGCATCATTATCATCAGATACATTATTATACTTTGCTTAATCATTATCATTATCATGCATCATCATCATTATCATTATCATCATCAAGACACTTCGCTTAATCATTATCATGTTAAAAATCGACTTTATTATCATCGTAAAAACCTTCAATTTTACCCAATTACATATACGTACCTTTGGACCTTTAGGTCCTCGGCTACCACGCAAACCTTCTTCTCCGGCATCTCCCTGTCAAATGAAAATGAGTCACAAGAAAAACATGAATACAAAACGTTTTACATTCAAGATTGTAGCCTCGGTAGAACATGCGCAGCATAACCAACCGCTGACCTAAGTCAACGCGTTGCTCATATCTAACTATATTTGAAATAGCTTATCTATATTGGAATTACTTGAATTCCCTTAGCGATCCCATGATGCTTTGAGGCAAATCCTGGAAATATGCTGCGAGGCTTATAGTCGTATAGTACGTCATTTATGGTACAAACATGTGGATCACTGAATAAATTTATTATACGTCGTTCCTAGCTTTCGGTCGATAATAAGAAAATATTGGTATAAATGCTAGTACGTTCACTACTTAACAACATTATAATCGAATCTACAGTACTATTTGTCCATGGGCCAGACCCTCCTAGATTTACCTCTCAGAGAGACCAGCTGATAATGACACAGATTTGAAGTTTGGCCTAGGTTGTTTCAAAATCTACTGATCCTTTTGAGGTTTTGTGCAATTTTGAAAATTTTATTAGTGAAGGCGTCGGTAACGTGGTATATTATCGTTACAACGTGTCTCTGTATGTTCTCACCTTTAAGCCAATAGGTCCACGAGGTCCAATTTGACCCATATTACCTCGGTAGCCCTGGAATATGGAAGAAATTTCATTAAAATCTTGCCCAAATTTCTCTAAATAAAGAAGCATATTTGAGCGTGAAATTCATACCTTGATTCCTCTCACTCCAAGTTCGCCTGACATTCCCTTAATACCCTGCTCTCCCTAAAAACATAATCAGCAGAAAACATTACACCTCGGCGCATCAGACACCGAGCCCTTTTATATCAAGTTAAAGTGACCCCCCTATTCTTGTGGTGCATGTTACGTCATAGCCACCATGTTGGTTGACAATAGCAAAGCATTCCTCATTAGCTTCTCAATTATTCATCGTTATTTATATCCCGAGGGATTTTGAGTCATGTAGTTGCGCCCCAAGAGTTAGGACTCTTGTTTAAACTCCTGTCCCTTAGCTAAAGGATCACCCTGCCTTCAAATCACGGAGGTACTGACTTATATACACAATGATGTTTAAAATCAGATGAAGACTCACAGATTTCCCGGTTACACCTCTGTCACCATCTATTCCCTGATCGCCACCTTGACCCTGAAATAAACAATCGCGAAAATTAGAAAACCGATTTAAAATATACACTACAACAGAACGGTTACGTTGACGTGACGCGACTGTGACGGTGATGTGTCCTGGCGTAACGCGTGCCTCCATTTTGTGTAGAATATTCACGTGTTCCAGTGAAGATCCATGAAATTTCAAAGTGGTTTGTATTGTTGAAGGTGTGCATTCTTTACTTTACTGTTGGTATTTGTGAATATTTAGACACTGACACGAGGCTAAGCTTGAGTAAATGAGTCTGTAATCAAGGAACACAGAGGTATTTTGGAACTCGATCTATACCATGTCTCTTCTGTTGTTACCATTGAGCCAGAGTAATGTTCAGGGCCGCGTAGGTTGGAGAAAAACCATCAGTGGGTTATGCTGCTTTAATCTTGCTTATTGCTCCTTACCTTCGCTCCAGTTCTTCCTGATCTTCCTTTAGCTCCCTGTCTTCCGGCAGCGCCCTGACAAATTAATGACCATTATATCAACTCTCTATTCGGAAAAAAATATTATAGCCCACGTAAAGACCCCTTGCAGCACATCGGAATGCAGCTCAATTTGGAGGACATAACAATGGGTATCCCATTCTCAAGAGATTGAAATTCATTTGTTTTGTCGCATGAATGTGGTCCATTACCAGTCATTGGAATGACTGGAAATAATAAGTATTACATATTTTAATCTCTTTTTTTCCGGTCCGGTATCCTAAAAAAGTGCATTCTGATTGGCTGTTTGAGCGGGCGGTATTTTGTCAGTATCTGCACGCGCGCGCGGTCCGGTATCCTTTGCCGCTAAACAACAAAACAAAACGATTACAAAAATAAGTAGAAAAAGTACGGGAAAAAAATAAATGAGTTATTTACCGTCCTATAGTCGGTCCGGATAGGGAAAACTGTGCCCTCTGTCTTGATAACGTATATTCAAGACCTCGTGCACAGTTTTTCCCTATCCAGACCTCCTGGCCGGTAAATAACATATATATATCTTACAATAATGCCGATGGGTCCAGCACCTCCACGCATTCCTCTCTCTCCGATGTCACCCTGTAAAAATAACGGATGGGAAAATAAATGGGAAAATAAAAAATGAAAATGATCACAAAAAGAATAAATGAGAAAATAGATGAGAAAATAGAGTATACATGGGAAAGAAATATGAAAATGGACCAATCGAACCACATACCTTATCTCCCTTTCCTCCGTTGATTCCAACTCCACCTCGAGGTCCTTGTAGTCCCTGTATGTATTACATAAATGAGTCTTTATGATTGGTTTTCTAATCAATCACGTGGTCTATTGTTGGTTTAGTCACGTGATTACCTGCAAGCCAGGGGTTCCGGTGCTACCACGCTTACCCTTGGGTCCTCTTGGTCCCTATGATGGAAATACACACTATAAATATCGTACCAAGATAAGTATTAATCGTGCATTATATTCATTATACCATCATGAATTATAGGGTCAATTACCTACCCGACCACCGGGTGGACCAGGGGGTCCGTCACGTCCATCACCTCCGTTGTCTCCCTGTTCAAATTATAAGTCAATTCATTATTGAAGTAATTCTTAAAAAAGCCAGATAAGTAGTTAACAAATGTAACCTGATAAATTGATAATACGAGGAGAGATATCTATAATTTGCAATGGCACCATCCACTATAAATAGACATCCAAATAAACAAATATTTATCTAATATTTATCATCAAAAACCATCCTGTGATTTTTCAGCTTTCTTCTCTTTCGTCTCCCTCTTATCGTCACTTTCTCTCAAGTCTCCCTTTCTCTCCTCTCTTATATCTTTTCCTTCGCCCTTCTCTTCCTAATCCCGGATATACGACCAAAAAAAAAAAAAAAAAAAAAAAAGAAATTCTACTTCACCCTTTCTCCGGGTTCTCCGCGTGGACCGGCTGCTCCTTGTGGTCCAGGGAAGCCCTGATATAATGAAATACGTCTTATTAGTTAAGGTCTGTCAAACACGAAATTAGTCAAGCTGGAATTGATTTAAAAAAACAGATTTGTTAGCCAAAGAATTCTGGGTATTTACTTACGGATTGACCTCTGCTTCCAGCGATGCCTTGCGGGCCGGGTTTACCTACAGGGCCCTGCGGAAACACATTTATAGAGCGTTTTCACGTGACGTCACAGCGGCCATTATGGGGTACCGAAACAATACATTTTCTATCCTTCGGGAATTGAACTCTATTTTTATGCAAATACTGTACAGAAAGTTTCTATTGTTTATGGCTACCTTCTCACGTGAGTAAAAAAACGCTCTATAGTAAGAATAGTGACGTAAGTTTGAATCCAAGATTGCGCCTTCAGCTAGCACAGGAAGCCCAAAAGTTCGATATCATACCAAAGATTTGATTTACGCGCAGTGAAAGAAGATGCTGAAGCATATTACTCGGGCTACTTGTGAATGGAAAATTTGAATTTCCAGACTGTGCCCCCTCTCCCCTCCCCCTTTGCAAAACGTTTCAGAATATCTTTGCGAGTTGTGACACAGGTAACCCAAGTAACAGCCATTTGAAGAGTACACCTTACTTGTTGTCCAGGTTGGCCTTTAGCACCATCTTTACCCGGAGCACCATCTGGTCCCTAAAAAAGTAGAAAAAATATAAGATTGAAAGATGAAAGTCAATGAGGTTGATGACGCATGATGTCACGTGACTGAAACCATTAGATCACGTGACACTCACGATGTACTTACGGGAGCTCCATTTTGTCCACTTTCACCATCAGGTCCTGATTGGCCTGTGGATCCCTGTTGATAAAATACCAAAAAAGTTCATTACTTTATACACCTTGACCATCAAATACGTGTTAACAATACATTACTATATAGTACTTATGTTACCTTGGCTCCATCTTTGCCATCAGGACCCTTTTCTCCCTTCCCACCACGAGGACCCTGGAAAAAGAAGCGCAGCGTAAATATAGACGTGTAAATAAATTATATTATAGCACCATAAATAATATTATAGCACCATGGAAAATGAAGTACTGCCTACGAATACCTTTGATCCTGGGCCTCCAATGCTTCCCCGTTCTCCCTGACTACCGGGTGCTCCCTGTAAGTAAACAACACAACAACGAACCAAATCAACAACTATATAAATACATAGAATAGACTAGACCTAATCCAATGTTTTCCCATTTCAGAACACGTGTCATTCCCTTGAGTTTCATTTCTTTGTTTAACGGTTGAGAAGATACATGAATATTGATACAACTCAAACAAAGAATAACACGTGGTATGAAAGGGGAAAATATTACACCCAAGTTCATATAAAGTTTGACTTATGATCTGTTATCGCGCCATTTCCATGACGATTCGTGGTAGTCATGGAAACCATACTTACCGCAGAACCTTGTGGGCCACGATCACCTTTGTTGCCAATTGGTCCGACGTCACCCTAAGAAAATCCGTAAGAAGGCGTGTGAAATACACTGAACCAACAAGTATGAAAGAGTATGCAGTAACTATAATCACGCAGCCATCCCATACCCTAAGGATGAAATATTCCTATGTACACCCATACTTGTCCATGTGCTGAAATGTGTGTAAACCTCCCATACCCTAAGGATGAAATATTCCT